GTTTATCTGCAATTAGTTACACGAATTCAGATATGGAGCTTTAATAAGTTGTATTTACGCACAATCTACTTGTAATCTTGAGTTTTAAGTAATATGTATTAATAAACAGTACTTTACGTATAAAAAGTAGTTTTTAAGAGTTTTTGTCAAATGCTTTATAATATAGTATAGATTGTTTTTTTTTAATTTAATTTAAGTTTAATAATGAAATAATTTATTTTTGGTTTAATAATTTGACATTTTATAAAGATAATAATTAAGTATTTTGTTAGAACTCAATGATTATTCTAATTATATTTTAGATTTTTTATATTTAAAATGAGATGGTTATCCTGTATTTGATTATGTTTATCTGCAGTTAGTTACACGTATTCAGTTATGGGATGAAATCGGATAGGGATGAAATTGTTTAGGGATGAACGAGTTTAAGAGTTTTAAGAGTTTAAGAGTTTTAAGAGTTTAAGAGTTTTTAAGAGTTTTAGTCAAATGCTTTATAATATAGTATAGATATATGTGTGTGTGTGTGTGTGAAGTGTGTGTATAATTAATACTCGGAATCGGGGTCGGGCCCTAGTTTATAAATTTGGGGATTCTCCATTCCCGATCAAATTATCGGGTAATCTGATTTTTTTGCCAACCCTAAATTACATGGGGTTCACGTGATGTATGTCCACTAGTAAACCCTAGCTAGGTATTATGTGAACTATGAAGAAATCTTTTCCAAATCATTAATTATTTAACGAATAAATTCTAAATCGTGTATAAAAGGGATATATATTCTCATAAATACAAACAAATGCCCAACATTATTTATTAATGATACCGAATACTTTGTCATTTAGAGAGAGGGGTGAGCGGGGAGTTCAAACGAGAACGCCAACTATTTAAGAAAACAAGAAAAATGTTGTTAATGTATAAAATCATATGTGATTTTACATCAACGTTAAAAAATGGAAGCGGACGACTTTTTCCGCGACTTAAGTCGCGGGCAAAGTCTTGTGCCGAATCATGTAGTACGTGAATCATATATGATTTTGTATATTAACAACATTTTTCTTATTTTTTTAAATAGTTAGCGTTATCGTTTGAAACTGTCCCTATATATGTATGTATGTATGTATGTATGTATGTATCAGGGTTGTCCCTTAGCATGTTAAATGTGAGATTTTGAACAGACCCTCGAAATTTTGGGGCCCAAATTTACATGTGTTTAGGGTCTTTTTATCGACATGTGTAAAATTATAGCCGAAATTATTTAGATTCAAACCATTAATTGTTTGGTTTGGCTTCAAATTATTAATGGTTTAGGTTTAGTTTCATATTGTTAATCATTTTTGGTTTAGCCTATTCTTGTTCTTAGCATAAATTCTCTGTTATCTCATTTATGCAATGTAATCAAAAGTTTTGGATGTAACAGGGCCTCCAAAAATATTGGAACATCCTTGGTATAGATAGATAGATAGAGAGAGAGAGAGAGAGAGAGAGAGAGAGATAGGGGGGGGAACGTTCACAGAAAAACCTCAAAAAATGAAAAACTGAGGAACACGGTACTCTGATAACTGTTTCATCCGAACGTGTGCATACAAGTAATTGAAACTGTTTTTCAAATTTTATGCATGTGTGCATGTTATGAACATGTGCTTATCAGACAAATCGCTTACAAAACACTTATATACATATGTACATACCATCCAGGTTAACAATTAGTAGGGTGATCCTCAATTTTTTATTTTTTTATTTCTCCTTTGAAACAGTCCCCCCTCTCTCTGTATGTGTGTGTGTGTATATATATATATAGAGGTTGGTTATTATACAATCTTTTACATTTGTACAACCAATACAACTCAATCTCAATCGTCCATTTAATTTGATGAATATGTTATTTTATAAAAGTTTTGATTGTTTTCTAATATAAAGTATTGATCATAATTAATGAACATTATTCATTTTCCATAAATATTCAAATCATAATAAATGAACTCTCATCATTTCTATAAAAATTCCAATTAATTGGGTTGCATTGGTTGTACAAATGGACTTGGTTGTATTTGAAATATACCCTATATATATATATATAGAGAGAGAGAGAGAGAGAGAGAGAGAGACTTGGGATCATGTGAGACCAATGATTTTTCGTGAGACCCGTAAGACCAATTCTCAACCCTTGTATTAGATCTACAATCTGAACATTCATAATCACAAAATTGTCACAAGACTTCTCAATAATCACAAAATTGATACCATGCAACTTTAGACCATTAGATCATTAGCTTATAAAGTTGATCAATGAACGTAAATTGGTCTTATGAGTCTCACGAAAACCTTTGGTCTCACGTGAACCCAACCCTATATATATATATATATATATATATATATATATATATATATATATAGAGAGAGAGAGAGAGAGAGAGATGAGCGATCAAATAAAAACCACCCTCATTTGTAAAAACCGTACAAACCACCCTCATACGTTGATTTCATTGTTTAATCTTATGGAAAAAAAAATTAATGAAATTGTTTAATCTTGTGAAATTGTTTCATATAATATTTTTTTTGATGAATTTGTTTCATATATGGTTATGAAATTGTTTCATATAATATTTAATGAAATTTTAATGGAACTGTTTCATGTATTTCTCTAAAATTAAAATAATAAAGATGATAATATCAATGATTAACACCCTCCACAATAAAAATGGTTAATCAACCTCTCATAATTACAAAAAGATGAACAAAATAAAAAATTATGATCGGTTGAATGTGGTTTTCACTGTTTTTACAAATTAAGTGGTTTTTATTTGAACGCTCCCCTATATATATATATATATATATATATATGTGTGTGTGTGTGTGTGTGATTTTTGTAGAAGTGTATCTTGAAGTCACGTGACTGGGGATATGCACAATGCAGCAACTAGCTAGCAATTTGTCTCCCTTTTTAAAAAGAGTTGGCTCAACCCTTATAGCTTCCATTTGCTCGCCATAGCTGCTATCCTCTTTCTGAAGCTATCCATCATCCATCTCTTCAATTACTTACCTTCCAGTTTCCCTGGATCAACACTTACATCTGTCTCTGTGCCCTGATCCATCGACAATCATGCAGATGACTCCGATCTTCTTGAACTCATCATCTAACCATTATTGGCCCACTGATCTTCACCATCAAGATGATCACTTTAGCCACAGCAATCAAGAATTCTTGAGCCCTAATTCTCAAGCTTCTTCGTCTTCGAACTCTCTCACAACTCATATGTTCTTAAACTCCACTGTTGTTCATCGTGAAAATGGTGTTTCAGATACAGAATTACAGCCTCTACAACCTCAACACGAGGTAACCAAGCTTGATCAGTCATATATATGTGATCTTTACAGTTATATATATATATATATGTATCTGTATGTATATATATATATAAGTCCAACTTTTGTATGTTTTAATCTGTTGTTGGACTTTAAAAGGCAATTCATTTAATGGGTGTTCCTTGAAACGCAATCTTGATATGTTTTGAACTTGATCATATCGATCATATATGTGATCTTTACAGTTCTATATATATGTATCTGTATGTATATAATATATATATATATAGGTCCAACTTTTGTATGTTTTGATCTGTTGTTGGACTTTAGAAAGCAATCCATTTTGATGGGTGTTCCTTGAAATGCAATCTTGATATGTTTTGAACTTGATCATATGTAGGATGATAATTTTGGATCACAAGTGTACGAGGATGATCGAATCGAGAATAACTACGAGAAAAACCACGAATTTCCGACATGGAACAAGAGTGAAATGAATGATATGATCAACAAGGATCAAAATCAAATGAAGTGGATGTCTTCCAAGATGAGAGTAATGCTTAAAATGAAGAAATCCGATCCGGTGAATCCAAACGCTTATCGTTCAACTACTAGAGAAGCGACGACGCTCGAAGATCAAAAGCTACCAAATTCGCCAATTGATCAAGAAACCGAAAATTCTAGCAATAGTACTACTTCCAACAACAGTGTACCGATTAGGGTTTGTTCCGATTGCAACACCACCAAGACTCCTCTATGGCGTAGCGGACCTCGAGGTCCTAAGGTATTATCTATATCTATATCTATATTAGATCATGATTAAAGACTCGAATTCACGACCCCACTATTTGTACGTATAATTTACTTACTTTTCGTTATGTAGTCGCTTTGCAATGCTTGCGGAATCCGACAAAGGAAGGCCAGAAGAGCACTGGCGGCAGCAGCAGCAGCATCAGCAGAAAATGGCAATGGTAATGTTTCCATGGATCAATCAATCATGGTGCCATTGAAGGTTACAAAAACCCCACATAAAGAGCACAAGAAACCAAGTAATGGGCATGTTACCAAGTACAAGAAAAGACAATACACCAAGCAGATTATAACCATCCCCACCCCATCACCATCACCATCACCATCACCATTGCCGTCATCATCGCCGCCATCTTCATCTTCTCCGGTGAGAAAGAACTGTGTGGAAGAATTTCTAGAAAGCTTGAGCAAGAACCTAACACTTTATAGGGTGTTCCCACAAGATGAGAAAGAAGCTGCAATCCTACTAATGGCACTCTCTTGTGGCTATGCTCATGAAATCTGAGAGCTTATTGGCAGCTTATTGGCAACAGTAGTACTGTTTTTTTGTCTTAATAGATGTTAAGATTTCTTGCAAGTGAGTTATAGTGATTAAAACGTCTGTTTGGAAGGGTTATATACCTTCAATTTCACCATTTTCATAGCTAACAGTTAGAGTTGTGGTGAGTGAGCTATATGTTTTGTATAAGGATGTTATATATATGATGAACATGATGACCAAAGTTTCCATGGATCTCATGTTCTTCATGTCTGCTTAATTATGTAATAATCAAGAATTACTTTTGATTCATACACATTGTTTTTCGGTTTGTTTTGATTCAATCCCTTTTGTTGATTTCAATTCGATCATGTAAATTGTTGAAAAATATTCCAATAAGATAGATGAAAACAAAATAAAATTTTAATCTTTATAAGAACTTAAATTTTATAACGGACAAAAATTAAACCTTTTAGTATTCAGAACCACCATCACCTCAACAGAGTGTCAAATCACACAGATTGAATCTATCATTCGCGATAGATTTAATGAAATAAATGAGTAAAAGCAGAGTTGTTCACTTAGTGAACAGAAAATTAAATACAATGCGTAAAATATAAAACCAACCTGATTAAATTGTCGATCTGTATTGTAATCTGCACGGTAAAACCTATCCTTAAGGTTTTATACGACCACTCTATTCATTCTGTTAGTCGCAAAACCCCATGATTCGATGCAGTATATGATTCGTTTATGAACAGCGATCAAAAACGAATATAGAGCACGGTTTATGCAGAAAACGATAGAGAGAAAGTTAAACTCGAAAGCAGAAATCGAAGGAGAGAAAACTCAGAATTTTTCAGTACGTTTTTGAGTTGGATTCAACCCAGTTTAAATATTGGTTGAAGCCTAGAAAGTCTCCACAAAAAACTCATAAAAACGCTGATCATGGGAGGATTTTTCTCATCGGTCATTATCTAAAATCATGGGTTTAGACTAAGTCCAGATTAAAACCGAGTTTTATTTAAAAATCATTTATTTATTTCCTTCTCCTTTCGACTTTGTACCAAAAAGATACTCGTGCGGCATGCGCCTCCTCGTGCCACTTTCACGAATCCCTCGGCCTCTGCCACAACCATGCGCATGTGTGTGGGACTTCTACTCAAGACCACCACCATGGCTCGACCAACTTGTTCAAAACCTATTTCTAGAGAAAGCCTTATAAGCTTCTCTAAAAATTAATTTTCTACAAATGTCGATTGGAAGCTAAACTTCCAAACCACAAAATTTTCTAACATAAATTGTATTAATGTAAGCACACGATATTTACATTAATCTACAGAATGAGTTAAGAGTTCAAAGGGTGTTTCAGAAAAAGATGTGAAAGTTGATGATGCTACCGATGATTCAAACAGTAGGGGTACAAACTACTTTCTAGCTAGGTTATACTTTCTTCAATCTCTCTCTCTCTCTCTCTATATATATATACATACATATATATATATATATAACAACTCTTGAATATATGTGTTTAAGAGAGAGAGAGAGAGAAAGAAGAGACAGAAAGTGAAGTTTTTGTTGCAGAAAAGTGTCTGCAAAATGGTTTCACGAGAAGCCATGCAGCAATGGATCATAATTCTTCTATTTGTAATTGTACGAACCCCCATCTGGGTTGAAGCTACCATCCACCTCAACAATTTCACTTTAAATTTTTGAATCATCATCAAAGATAGTGTCATGTTTTAACCCCCAACTGTTTGTTTTTGTGAGACCTGTGAGACCAGCTTTTTACACTTGAAATTTCACAGCAAAATGTTGTGAAGGTAACCTTCACAGTGTTTTTGTTGTGAAGGTTCGACTTTTTTAAACCTTCACAGTGTTTTTGCAGTGAAGTTTCAAGTGTAAAAATGTGGTCTCACGGGTCTCACGAAAACAGGCTGGTCTCACGTGAACCTAACTCTCTCTCTCTCTCTCTATATATATATATATATATATAGAGAGAGAGAGAGAGAGAGGTTGGTTATTATACAACCTTTGACATTTGTGCAACCAATACAAACCAATCTCAACCGTCCATTTCATTTGATTAATATGTGATTTCATAGAAGTTTTGATTGTTTCCTAATATAAAGTATTGATAATGAACCATATTCATCTTCCATAAATATTCAAATCATAATAAATGAACTCTCATCATTTCTATAAATATCTCAATTTATTGGGTTGCATTGGTTGTACAAATACGATGGATTGTATTTGAAGCAAACTATATATATATATATATATATATATATATATATATATATATATATATATATANATATATATATATATATATATATATATATATATATATATATATATATATATATATACATCTTCACTAATCTTTAATGATTTTCCTTGGAAATTTTTCAATAACTGTAACATAAAACTTACCATACAAGAAACGAAATAAATCAAAGCTCGAGTCTAAGGCTCATATTGAACACAATGTCGTTAAAACAGATTCGGTCCAAACCCACAAGTTGGTTTGGACTAGATCGGTATTTTCCTCTATATATGTAATACCCTCTTTAAACCCTAGAAGGTGTTACTATTTACAACACTTACTAAAACATGTGTATTTAAATCTTCAATTAATCAGTAATAAAATACTGAAAGCTAGCTCAAATCTCCGAAAGCATTCACAAAAAATCTTAGTGGTTTAACAGTTTCATTAAGAGGCAACATCTAAATCATTAAGAGGTGAATCTTATTTGGTAAAAAAAAAGTCTGCCTCTTAATAGTTCTAAAACCCTCTGAATGATTTTGTATCATGGGCCTCCCTTAACCATTAAGCGCACTAATTTCATTGTAAACAATTACCAAACAATTATATTTCATGTTGCACTATATCATAAAAGCCTCTTAATCATTCTGACCACTTAATCATTCTACACCAAATTATTCAACAACTGTCAAACAGCCCCTTAAACTAATAACAATATTACAATCTGATGTGCAATACCAAACTAGAATAAAACATAAAATTCCATCAACTATTTCATGGTTTTGCATATGAAAATATTGAAAAATATTGCATGCTAATTGCAATGGAAACGTATTATGAGTTTATAACTGCTATGCAAATATACTTTGTATTGCTTAAAACATCTTATTATCAATGAGGGATCAGTGAGGGAAATGATTTTTGGTTTATCTGTCGCTGATAATCTGTTTTCTAGTAGTGTCAGGGTCTCCACCGCTTGATGGTGTTCCCTTTTTAATGTATTTGATTCAATGCATAATGTATTAATAATATTCAAAAAAATAAAATACAATGTTGTAATAAGAACCTGCAAAATTATAATAAAATAATTTTAAAAGTACAAATGTTATAATAAGAAATGTCACATCATAAATATGGTACACATAAATCCTACATGAACAATGACATGATATAACAGTCTATTTCTTATCATCAAATTTCAAATAAACAGGTTACACGTTGTTATATTAGGTAAAAATTTAAAAGTATAGCATCAGAATACAAAAATAATATATACTAAGAAAATTTATAAAAATATGTTGCTACTGTATTTCGTTTAATTATCTATAATTTACTTAGTGATAGCCAAACCAGCCCAGTCCGGCCCGGGACTGCCGAGACCGGTAAAGGCCGGTTATAGGACCGCCGACAGGGACTGCTTACATATTTGGAGTGATTTGAGGGACCGGCCCGACCGGGACCGGTTATGGGACCGGACTGGTCCAACCCGGTTTTATTAATGTAATTTTATTTATAATATTTGAATGTAATTTTTAATTATGATAAAACGCATTTTTAAAGTGTATTTGAGTGACCTGATTACAAATTTTATAATGTATTCAAAAAATCTATCATTAAAGAAAATAAAAAAAATATATTTTTTTTTGCATGGGTAGGGACCGAGACCGGGGCCGGTTACCCATAACCGGTTACAAAACACCTTAATCGGGCCTAAGTATATTCGACGGGACCGAGACCTGGACCGGTTACTCATAACCGGTTACAAAACACCTTAATCGGGCCTAATTATATTAGACGGGACCGGGACCTGAACCGCTTACGACCGACACTGTTCCGTCGGCTCGGCCCGGCCCGGCCTAGCCCGGCCCGATTTTGGGTTTTGGCCCGAGATGGGATTTTGGCCATCACTAAATTTACTAATGTTATATGTAACATCTTGCTTTTGGGCCTATATGAGTTGGGTTTCAAATGAATGGGCTTTAGTGAAGTAGATTGAAGAATCAAGGAACCGATTAGAGTCGCGATGAGATGAGTAAAGAACCTTTATATTGTTTTCGCTATTTTTATAGACGAATTCCGACAAGAATCGAGCTTTTGGAGTGAGTTTAGAAACACAAATAAACGAGAAAGTGTGTAGCAAGTTTCATGACGAAATCATCGATTAAATATATGATATGTGTGATAAATCTTCATATTAATGCGAGTTTAGTAACATATGATGTTAACAAATGGATTACTGTATAAATGGAGTTGATACAGATACCTTAAACTAAGGATGGTGATTTGTCCCGACCCGATGTGGAACCTGGCTCACCCGACCCGAACGGGGACGGAGATTTCCCGCTAAAACGGGTCCCACTTTTTTCTAAAGTAAAATTCGATATTTTACATATATATTTTTTTTGAGTTCTTTTTAAAGAATACAAAAATGTTATTCTAGCATATTTTAAAATATATAATTGGGTCAATAATATACACTTGAAAAATATGTTTTATTATAATTTCTTAAAAACGGAAATTGAATACAAGCCGAAACCATGAATTATAGTGAGAATTGTGAACGTTTTTTTTTACGTTTGTGAGTTGGTATATTCTCTCATACACCATTTGACTTATATATTGTCTGTAGAGGGTTGTCAAAAAAAATGAAAAAAGAACGGTCATATGAACGGCTATAAAAACGTAATATTTTTTGAAAAAATCGGGTTGGTCTCGAGTCGGGCCCATAACCGGTCCCGAGCCAAGCCTTGTTTTTTGTTGATATCAGCTTGAGTTAATATCAGCTTTTTTTACTTGCTATTTTCTACATTTTTCTATCAAGACCTGTATGAACTAAACTAAATCAGTGTTTGTTTGTATTGTAGAATAAACTGTTGAAATAAATAATCAGTTTGTTTTCTGTTTTTTCTTCTTTGAAATCATGGTTTTGTCATATATAATTCATGAAAGACGTGTTCAGCGTTTGGTCTTTTTGTTTTCTAATCACCGTTTTTCGTTAATAAAAGAATTTTCAATTTCTTTTCGATCTCAAACCTTCCTC